TTTTTTTTTTCATATAAATAATATTTTAGATTCGTTCAATTGTTGCTGATTGTGCTCGTGTAAATAAAGACAATAATAATACATTATCAAAAACACTTACAAGTGAATTATTGAGTCAAACATTACTTAATACAACAACAACAGATAATAATAATCAAACAATAACAAATACTCAACAAAGTACTAATAGTACATTAGATATAAATGATTTCTTTGATTGATAAAAAACTTTCTATACAATTTCTGGTTTAGGAGGTATGCGCCGATATGTTAGAGTCCTCTAAATTAAGTTTGGATGAACTTCAGCACACCGAAAGTTACGCAAAGTAGAAGTCAAAATGATTTCGAATTCAACAAAATATATTTCTATAAAGGTGATAATTAATGATTAGCTTGCTTCAAGTCATTCATTAACAATAAGTATTTTAGTAAGGAATACAGTTTCAATTTAGGTAACTTTCCAGGTTTCTATGAAAAACACACTTGCAAAGTGATTTTAACCATTTTTGAAATTCTCGATCCGTATATTAGTTTGTAGAGAACAACTTCTCCTTTAATTCTATGCAAAAAAAAGAATTAATAATGGAATTTATGTAGTAAAAGAGACTGCTATTATAATAAAATGTCGCCTCATAATTCCTGAATCAGAAGTCCTACAAAAAATTTTAAACTCACATTCAGAAAGAATACAAAATTCTGACTCATACAATGTTTTGAAATTTCTACAAGCTCCTTCAAGAGGCTGAAAAATAAATAAACATTTTGTCAAATTACTTTTCGATGATTAATATCTGAAAGAAAAAAAAACCCATTGTTTCCTATTCACAAAGAGAAACATTGAATAGATAAATATCTCCAACGTGTGACTGTCAATTCTGATTAACACGATTAATATTAAATGTATGTGCTTGTCACCTCAGCTGTTCCTTTCTATGGCTTAAGCTGCACATTTAAAATAACAGTATCTCGCTGACCTTGAATATGTACTGATAAAGTTCAAATTAAACTATACCAAGCATTAATACATCGATCGACAAATACATTATCTATATCGAACAGAGGAAGACGGAACTTTTGTATAATATTAAAAACCAAAACATTATTGTTCTTTGCTAGCAGAGAAAAAAGAAAGTCTTAAGCTATTTGTGATTTGCATAAATCAATCATTTCAGTTAGGATAATTTTGAAATAATCTTTGATATTTATATTTGAACTATAAATAGTAATAGATAAATAAAAAATTTAATTAAGAATGAAAATAGATATCATCGAAATTAATCACATTTAGTTTCACATTTGGATTTCATTAAAATATTTCAAATTGTTCTCAGAAAATGATCTCTGAAAATCGAAGAAGATTTTTTAAGAAACTTTAAATCATTTACTATCTTATATAGCATCAGACGCTCGTTCGAATATGATATTTAAAAAGAAAAATTACTCATTATATAAAAATAATAAAGAGTTCACATGAAATCTATCATAAAACAAGCCTTTCACTTCATAGACAGTTTACTTTTGAGAAAATTTTAATTATCAAAATATAGCTTGTGTTTTGTTCTTTCTATTTATACAGTTTCAGTTCCTTTCAACAATTGTAAAAAGAAAAAATAATTCAATTTAAAATATCGTCCAAAAAATTTTTTTCTAACAAAAATTAGCTACTTCAGACTGTTATATATTTCAGTTCAACTATGGATTCAACATTTATAGATGAAATTTTCTGTGACCATAATATAAACACTCACTGTACTTTTGACGCAAACTGTATTTCATGAGCCAAGTTTATGAGAAAGTTATACTTAAAAGAAAATCATTCGAAAAATTGTATTCGGTATTGTACAATTATATGTTTGTATGATAAATAAAAAGAAAAACAAGAGAATACAATGAAATGTCGACATTATACATACCTACACATTAGTTTGTCGAACATCATTGGCATCATCTTCATGTTTAAAAGAAAGAAAAATAAATGTAAATCTAAAATGACTATTGATATACAATTGCTAATAAAGCTAATTTTCAATGACATTTAAATGGGTATGAACGACGTTTAAATGATTTAATATTCAACAAAAACACGAATTATATTTTTAATCAATTAAATAATATTATATCACAAATAATATTTCTCTATTCATCTACATTGAAATTAGATTGATATTCATATTTATTTTTGTTTTATATATGTTAACAAAAAAAAATAGCTATAGAAATAATCCAAAAAAAAAAAGAATTTTATTAATTGGATGAATAATATTTTTGTGAGACAAGAAGAAAAAGAGAAAAAATGAATTGGACACCATTGAGACATTGAATTTTGTTTATCAAAGAAAAAGAATATTTTGTTGCATTTTACTTCATCGATACCGTTTGTATTTTCCTAAAAAAACGTACATAATGTGAAAAGAAAATAAACAAAATAATTATCTTACTCTAATATCCAGTAGTCCACAATTCTCCTTAGAAGACAGCGTGATCATATCCCACTACTCCAGTATCATAACCAAGAGTATCAATTGACGAAGCAAATTGATATGAGTTAGCAGCTATTGAACCAGCTAAAACAGACGGTGACTAAATAGATATGAAAATTTATTTATTTATACAGAAATTGTAACATTAAATAACATACAATATTTTCTACCACACCAGCAGCACGTGCTATTTGTTCCAATGAATGAGCATCCAACAGTGATCCTCCATAATGTTGAACATATGCTTGAGGATCTCCTTGAGTAACACCAAGAAATCGAATTCGTTGATTAACACGCGCTGGAGTAGGTTCATATTGAATAACAATATTGCGCGGTCTTGGATATGCTCTAGGTGGTGGTGCACGTTGGACAATTACTCTTCGTCTAGCTTGTCTTCTGAATGGAAGCCATTTCTCGAGAATAACAGTTTCTAATCATAATTAATTGACTAAGAAAGATATTACAAAAAAAAATAGAGACATACGAGGTCTAGGTGGAAGTGGTGGTAAACGTCCGACAGGTATTGATCGAGGTGGAAGAGGAAGAGCAGGCACTCGTTGAATACCTAGACAGAACAATCAATAAAAATATGAGAAATGGAAAAGTTGTTTTTTTTTTCTTATTTACAAGTTTGAGAAGCAAAGGGAACTGGTGAAGTCAATAGTTGTTCACGTATGATTAGTGGAGGTGGTGAACTACGATGTAGAACTTGTCGACTAATACGAAGTGGACGTGGTCGCACTCCTCTGATGATAAGTGGCTATAATATAAATAACATTATAAAATAATAGATGAACGAAAAAGAAAAAAAGAAAACTTACGCCTGATCGTGGTCGAAGATATCGAACTCCAATGTTTTTTTTGTAAGGTACACCACTACGTAGTACTCGACGACGTACAAGTCGTGGATAATAATCTCCGTAGAAACCTTGAACATCAGTTGCATACTGTTGAAGACCGGTCGCTTGTGGTGTAGATAAATAATTGATTGTAGCTAAATTGGCATTTGTAAGTCCAGCTGTACCACTAACATAATCAACTGGTAAACCGTACCATGATGATATATTATAGCCAACATCGCCCAATCCAGTTCCAGTATAACTAAGATCATCTCCGTAAGCAGCACCCCCTATTAATGATGAACCACAACCACAACCAGCTCCTACTCTCCTGAAATTACGATTAAGACCATAGCGTCTTGCACCATATGGAATCGTAGGAGCAGGGAGAATATTTCCACATCCATTTAAAATAAGTGGTTGATGAAGATTTACATCAGCAACAGCCATTTAACTGTACTTTTTTCTATTGATATAGACTATAATGTATTGATATCGAATTAGTTGGTGCAACGAAAGCCACTAAACCTCACTGGTTTATATATGCATTCATTTGGCTAGAAGCAGTCAAGCAAGTCAACTGCATTTTTATTTTCCTTCTTATTATCTTTCATTAATTTTTGTCCATCGCTATAGTGAAAAAAAAAAAGAATACACCTTGTTCTCTTTTTCTTTCAATCCTATCTTTCTTCTATTGTTCTTTAAATAAATCTGGGGCTTTATGTTTTTGCTTATATACATATATATATATATATATATATATCTGTATTTTGCATCTCTCGTTTATGATTATTCATTGACAACAAGTGCTTAACCAATGTACAGAGAAAGAGAGATAAGAAAAAACTATGCATCAATGATCATGTTATTAAATCATTGTCAATAGTTAAGCATTATGGTTGGGTTTTTTTTATTTGCTCTATAATTCGTGTGAGAGGTTGGCAGAGCATAAGTATATATAATGTTAATGTGTTTAATTGAGTGTTGTTTCTTTTTTTGAATTATCTTCTCACATATTGTTGTTCATAGGAAATAGTGTATTGATTCATAACGATTACCTGTCTTAAACATGTACTTATATCCGTATAAATCAATCAATTACAATTGTATTAATTGCTAAATTACAAAACAATTTTTAATTGTATCATTTTTTTTTTTAATTTTAAAAAGATAAATATATTTCAAACTGAAATTTTAATTTTCGTAGTCAAACAATTTAATCAGTCTTTTTAATAAAAAAAACCTCAAACAATGTGTTTTTTTCAACTTTGTTTATGTCAACAAAGTGTATTATAGAGAGAAAAATTCGATTTTTGTGTTTGTCAAGCAATACATATTGATGCAAAAGTGGAGAAGGAACGAATGTTCATTCATCCAATTAGTGAAAATCATATGTTATTATTTAGTACAATTAGAAATATTTTTCGAATTTTTATCACTCTTATGAAACATTTTCTTTATTCATTACCGTTACAATCTACCCCCAATCTCCAGGGACACCTGCGTAGTCTCTATATCAGCTCTTAAATAAGAAAATAAGTGAAAACAAAAATCACAATTTTGTTTTGTTTCTTTTTTTAATACAATCAAAGAAAAATTGGAGAATAGAAGAAAAATACATCGAATATTGCACAATCATAGAATGAGTCACAGTTACTATTTATGGTGCAAAACATTATGCAATGGTCAATTGCGAGTTGTTTTTTTCTTTTTTGATATGTAGCTCGAAATCGATATATTGTGTCACAATAATCTATAGATATCGAAGAATCATCCAATTTTCGTTCAAATGTTTTTTACAAATTTTTCTGAAATTTCATTTCATTCTTAAATCGTTTCACAAAATTAGAATGTTGAACTGAGAACTTTGTTTTTTTTTTCGAGATAATGAAAATGAATTTCAGCAGCAACAGTGATTATTCATTTTGTACAGTGTAGAAACATGTTTTTTTTTTCATTAAATTTGACATTTCGACTAATTCGAAAGTTTTATAATCTCACAAACGATGAGTCGAGTTTTCGAGATGTGTTGTCGACAACGGAATTAGTCTGTGTATCATTTAGGTTTCTACTTAAAAATTCATCTAACTGTCTTGAAACAAATCTGTTGGTTTATTTAGCAAATCTTGGACGAA